AGCGCTGTCGCGCTTCACTTGTCGTATGCCAAAAATATGGCGCAGCGTGATAGCGCTTCTCTTGTTTTGTATCGAGAATGCGAAGATGCTGCTGTAGTGATATAAGTAGCTGTTGTTTTATAGGAATTGGAAATTGTTTTAATTTTTTTACCAAGTGTTATACTGATAATTACGAAATAACCTATGTCAAGTTCTGATTCATTTGAAAGTGACTATGTTATGAGAAGATAATGAAGAGTATAGTAATGACCTTGAAAGTGATAGTGGAAGTGACATCATCATTCGTTCTAAGAGATTACGAGTTACTAGTGATAGCAGTGATGATGATGAAGTAACTGCAAGTACCTCCGATGATAATATTATTGATGAGTTTTTACCTGTGGATACAATTTTTTCGAACGAATCAAATAATTTTTCTGAAGTACCTGGACCAAAGCATGCCCCTCCTCCTAATACGAAACCTGTTTAATGTTTCAATAATTTTTTTTTCAAGTATGCTAACCAAGAGAAGTGCTATCATGCTGCGCCGTATTTTTGGCATATGATAAGTGAAGCACGCGCCGGACTCAAATGGTTAAATTCATAAACCATGGCTTCATTTATTCCAAATTCTTGTTAAGTTTTCATTGGAGAGTTATCCAGTCATCGGAAAAGTCACGACACATTTCGTCTATGTTTTACAAGATGTTATGACACAAAGAATGTATTTCAAGGAATTATATGTTGCCCATTTTGCTTAATAATTTTTCAACAAGCTGCAGAATTCCTCATTCATAGAAGGACCTGTTTTTATCCACGAAAAACTGAGGAAGTAGCTGAATTACAGCCATGTCAGAATTGAATGTTAATACCATGCAAGGATTGTTGAAGGAAGCGAAACAAGTGGAAGTCTGATGGTGCAAGGTCAGGCAAATATGTTATTATCCAGCTGTGGGTCTGTGTGTTCTACCAAATAATGAAGGTGATGCTATTAGTTTCTTACATGAATATAATGTATTGCTGAATAATCATCAGTATTCCAAATTGCACAAAAAGAAATTTTATTCTAGTCAATTGAAGAGCACATGGCAGTTTTCAGAACATATGGAATCAGTAAGAATGCAAGTAAGCAATTTATTTGCAGCAAGTAGATTACCATTTGTTACTGCCATGAGATTTATCTACTGCTGATCTAAGGAAATAACTTCAGTTAAATTTCACATGGCTTATTCAACATGGCTGATATTACTGTTATAGACTGAAACAATTATTTGAGAGAAATATGTGTCTACAAAATGCAGAGTATGAAAATTTAAAAAATAGACGGTGAAGGCTTGATCGTTGAGCTGATGGAAGACTCTTTTTGAAAAAAAAAATAAATAAATAACATTGGCTGTGTTCTGCCGCCTCAGTGGATTTTTAGCGGTATCTGGCAAGGAAAATAAAGAAGCCCTTGTTGCAGTGCCCAGTTGAAAAGCCAGGACTTTGTTAAATGCTATCAAAGAAAATATTAAAAAAGGAGAAACTAGTTATTCCAACTCCTCCTGCCAATGAAGCAAAAGAATTCCAAAAGGCTGGTTTTGAGCTTTTCAAAGTGAGATCTGCATTCCAGGATTCATGCAGAAAATATTGAGTAGGTATGGATTCTTCTCAATGGCAGAATAAGAAACAAGGGGATAAAACAAGATACCAGTTGAAGTCGTACTTAACAGAGTTCATATGGCGATAGAATGTTGTAGCTTGGAAGGAAGCCTTTGAAGCTATTTTAGAAGTGATTGTCAAACATGTTCCACCCAAAATAAGGAAAAATTAATTATATAAAATTACTGTCAGAGTAAGCCAATCCTTTTCCATACTTCTGTTCCTCATAAGTGCCTAAATTCCAAATGGGGGCATAGTTGATTTTTTAATATTTTCTCCTTTTGTATACCTAATGACTCTATGGTGGAGTCCAATTTAAAATGTGATGGATAATAATTCATCTTTAAGTTGAATTGACCAGCCAAATGTTACCTTCTTCATATAGTTACTGTTTATATTCAGGAGTTGTTTATAAGGAGGAGTTGTATTTATTAATTAATTATCAGCTGACCACATGAAATGAATATAATGAAAATGGAAATGAATATAAATAAAATTGTGTCATACTGACCATATTACTGACACTGATTTTAAGCTGAAGAACATTTAGCAATACAAGATATGTGAAAGAAAAAAAAAAAAAAAAAAAAAAAAGTTAGCTTGTAATCAGGTAAGCAAAGTTCTCATGTGCTCCTGTAGAATGGTGGTCAGTGCAACTAACTGGCAAATAAGAAACATGAGTTCTGTTCTAGGAGAGGTCAGAGCTGATTTTTTTTAAATTGCCACTAAAAAAAGGGGGGTGGGCTCTGTTGTAGTTTAACTTGGTTTGCTTGCAATCAGGTTAACAAAGCTATGTGTGCAACTGTAGTATGGTGGTCAGTGCAACTAACTGGCTGATAGAAAACATGTGTTCTATTCTAGGTGAGGTCAGAGCTGATTTTTCAAAATTGCTGCTAAAAAAAAAAAAAAAAAAAAAAAAAGGCCGGGCTTTATTGTTGTTTCACTTTAGAACTGCTTTCCTGAATTCTTTTTAGATCTCTTCTCAGTTATGCAGATTGTTGATATTAGTGAGCTACTTTTAACTTTATTCAGTTGGAAGCATCCTAGAATTTGGGGGAGTGGAATACTATACCGATGGAACTTCCAACTTCAGATATTAAAAAGTTTACAACAAAGGGATGGACCAAGACTTTTAAGCTTGATAGGCATAATGCTAGCAAAATTAAAATTAATGCATCCAATAACCAAGCGATTTGAGAATGTTAATGGCTGTATCCATTCTGATATGTCTTTTTACCCAGCTATCTGCAATGACAAGAACTGTGTGACCACACAGTCTAGACATGTTTATGAGATTCTTGCTGCTCACGACAACTCAGATAACCCCAATTATTCTTAGCTTTCAATAACAAATGAGGTAATGGATTCAGAGAAACAACATTGATTGGGGTAATAATAATCACAGAAAATATTTTGTGAAGCATTTCTATTAGGGACATTACATTTCTTCATTATATCTACCTCTAGCGCCAATTCTCTCTGCAGAGCCAAACTCTCTTAAAGACTTTTTTTGTTTGAAAAATGTTATTATTTCAGCTTGTGTTCTTTTATATCTTTTTCATACATTTATAGCTTATATCTAGTATTACTGACTTATATCTAGAATTATATCTAGTATTCAGTAAGTATTACTGAATGATGTTTTATTTATAAATACTCTTCAAATTATATATAATGTATACTGTATAAATTATATATATATTTATATTTATATATATTATTATTATGTAGTATAAACTATTTATACAATGTATATATATATATATAATATAATAATAATAATAATAGTTTATTAACCAATGGATTATTGAGTATATTATCTTTTTAGAGAAAATTAGTAGAATTGTAGTTAAATGAAGTAAGTAGCTTAGAAACATTTAAAATTATATGGCTTACATAAAGTTTTTATGGAATGCATTATTTGCCTAACTCAGATTATTGTACACTGTGCTGGGATTTTGTTTTTAATATTTTCGGCATCCAAAAGTTATAACAATCATAAGTAATAATAAAAAATGCGTAATACAGCACAAAGCCCAAGATCTAGACTCGCTGGGACTGATGATTCCAGATTTGGGATTTTAGATTTTTCTGGATATTAGATATCAGTTTAAATCTAGTAATATGGCATGTAGAAATTATGAAATTTAAAATATAAAAGAATGAAGCATTTATGACCTTAAGATAATCAAAATGTTTTTTAAAAAAAGCTCAGTATGTATTGATTTGCTTTGTTAAACATTTCTCTCAGTGTGACTTGTTTGAGTTGCTTTGTTTTTTGTGCTAATACTTTCTCCTCAGTTCTGTAGGTAGACATAATTTCTTGTTCAGTTACAAATTTGCGTTGTTCAATGTCCTATAATTACCACATCTAGAATTCTCACTAAATTATCAGTCAAAATTTTTTTCATTTTCAACCACCTCTCAGCCACTTTTTTCACTGTCCCTAGCGATATTTTCTGTATTTAGAACCATACTAAAGATTTCGCCATCCATTAGCTGATTAATGATTGGGGCATTGTTGTTGCGATGAAACACTTCCATTATATTATTTTTGTGTATTAAATTTCTTTTTAAATGTCCAAATTTCTTTTTAAATTCAAAAAAAATTTGCTTTTTGTTTGCGATATTTGAACAGCTTCAAATTCGTGGCTAACATCATAAAGCTATACTAGCATCCACTATATATACTGTTGGCAGTGCATCATGTGATTGTCAACTAAAGACATGTTCTGCTAAATTTTGCCTTGCTTCTGTTGCAAGCTGGTAAAGTTAAGCTTGAATTATATTTGAACGTATTATACTTAATGCCTATTTTTCTCACATGCGTAAGACTTATCCAAGTCCCTTATAAATAAATTTCCACGTATACTTATGGCTTATCCAGGCCCAGTGCTAGACATTTTAATAATATTTAAAAAATGTGTTTAGACCTATGCATGAGTCATTTCTCAAGTTGTAGTGTGTTGATAGTCATGTAATGATAGCAGCAAAAAGTAATAAATAATTATTTGTTAGGTTGGCATCAGTGCTGAAGTGAAATAAAAAAACAGGTCTTTCTATATATTTTTATCATGAAAAAATAATTATATAAGCATTAAGCATTAAAATAATTTTCCTCCCCCCCCAAAAAAAAACCTGGTTGCTGGCGATCCAGGAGTACAGATTTTAGATCATTCGGAATATTGAACATCTGAATTTTGGACTTTGTATTGTATTTGCATTTAAAATAGTATTTATAATACTATGTATGATAGATTTTTTTTAGTTCTGATTAATGTATTATTTTTCACTTTACAGATATGCTTTTTTCACTTTACAGATATCCTCCTATTGTTCTATTATATCCAATTTACTGATGTAATGTATTCTCTTAATAGATGTACAAAGATATGATATCTGCTCTAAAGCAGGCAAGTGAAAATAAAACAGCGGTAACTATACTTACTGGTAAGAATTTAAGCTGACAAAATGTTTCATTAATTTATTTTGTTTCATTTAAGAGTTATTAAGTTTAATATAGAACATAGAATTTCTAGTTTTATTATTTTTTATGCCAAAATTTATAAAATATATTTAAGTTTGATTGGGTTTTTTTTCTTTGTTGTCAGTATTCAACTATTAAATTGCAGTTTAAATACCTTCACTTGTGAAATTTAAGTCTTTAGAGCAAATTTTATAAAGAAATTGCTAAAAATTTTATTACTTAAAATTAGTATGTTGTTCATAGCCATATGGCAACATAAATAATAATTGTAATATGTATATATTATGATTTCATTATTATTTATCAACATTTGTGCAACATGGACTTTCATCCTCAACACTTTTAAGTGGTTAATATTTTCAAGAAGAAAACCAATTGATCATCTGGTATGTTGAACTGATAAATTTACAGATTTAATATAGCATACATACATTTTACAAAAGATATTTACATAATTAAGTGAAAGAATTAAAATATGTATAAAAAATGAAATCATGAATTTTTACTTTGGATATGCATTTTGTATTTTGAGTACTTTTATAATACATTGATTTTTATCTTTTTTTAAATTTTAAGGTCGGGGAGATTACTTTAGTAGTGGAAATGATTTGAGCAACTTTTCTTCTGTTCAAGGTGATGTTGCTACTGCTGCAAAAAATGCTGCTGAAATGTTAAAGTTAGTGTCCTGCATATTTTTATGCCCTGATATTTTGTTTTCATTGTTTGTATGTCTGTCTGTGGTTGCACAGTGATTAATATTGTATTTTTTAGTTGATAGTGAATGAAATGCTGCTGAATTTTCCCCAGTTATATAACGTGTGAACGTCCAATTGGTTTATTCTCTCAAAACATTCATTTTCTAGAAATTTCATCAACCATCATTGTTTGATCTAAACATATGTTATCATCCTTTAAAAGAAAGTTAAATCTGTATGCACTTCTAAAAGACTTTTTATATAGGGCAATATAGCACTTTCATGACATCTCTTGCTTGTTTTTAATTTTCATAATATAATAATAATTATCATGCATATCGTAAAAGGCGATTAAAATGGGTACCCAGTGTCCAGCGGTATAGCTGGGCACCCCTGCCTTCAGCTTGGGGGTTGAGCGCAAGGCCAATCCCCTTGCCTCATAAAAATTTCTGATTCAGAAATCTGAAAAGGAATCTTCCAGACTGATACATTCTCGATGACCTAGCTTGAAATCGGATCTTAGGATTGGGACATGGAATATAAGGACTTTATATAAAGGCTGAGCTTTGAAAATGCTTACTAATATTTTTATCAAGTATAAATTAGTTATACTAGCTATCCAAGAAATAAGATGGACTGGCAATGGAGTGATTGATAAACTTAATTGCTCTGTTTATTTTAGCTGCCATGATAAAATACATCAGTATGGAACTGGTTTTATTGTTGGTAAACAAATAAGAGATAGAATCATTGAATTTAAGCCAGTGAATGAGAGGATTTGTAGGCTACTTATCAAAGATAAGATACATAATATTTATCTTACCTGTACCCATGCTTCCGCAGAGGATAAGGGGTATGAGGAAAAGAACAAATTTTATGATCTTCTTCATAAGACTCATAGTGAATGATATTTATAAGACTCATAGTGGGTGACTTTAATACAAAGATTGGTCACATTGAAGACTTAAGTGTGTTTGTGGGAAACCACAGTCTATACAGCGAGTCAGATCAAAGTGGTATTAGACTTACGGACTTTGCCATCTCTGCTGATATGATGATTAGGAGTACTGCATTCAAACATAAAAATATATTTAACCCCTTGGCCTACACGTTATCTGCCAAATGCACGAGCTGTAGTAAACAAGAAAGTCGGTCGCACGCCGTGCCATTCAACTGTTCAGTCATGTACCCAAACTGGCACAAAATGTATACTTTTACTGACATATATATTTCAGTGTAACAAAAGGAATTGTGAAAAAATAAACAATGTTTAGGTACAAATAGTAATTTTAAGATGTCTAGGATGTAATCATAATCCAGAGTTCATATGGTTCTTTAAGCTGTGTTCAGACGTGGACGTAAAGCGCATAGAGGTATAGTCATAAGAGCATAAAATACGGGACATCCGTTCACACCTGCGAGATGGGGGGTCTAAGCTGTGGCCAATGAGAGAAGCTAAATTTGTGCATGTGTGGATGTGTCTACACCTTTCGCATGCTGTTTTCGAGCTCAAATGATTTCTCGCGCTCGCTCTGCTTGTTTTTGTTATTTTGTGTCATGGCTTTTTCAGCTCACCACAAAGTTTTACTGGTTCAGCAGAATGCTCTTTTATCTGTCCTTCTCATAAGCCAAGAGGCAACGGAAGAAGGTAAAAAAGGAACGAAATGATCTAGAGATATTTTTTTGAAAGACCAATACTTGGTTGGCACATATATTTCTGTGCAAAGCAGTATGGAATATTTCTGCATTGTACTGTAGTACTCTCTATACTATAAACATGCACATGCATATTTATATGTATAAAACCTTCTTCAATTTTTATATATAATTTCTCTTAGGAGAAATACGATATTCTAAATATGCCTAATTAAAAAAAAAAAAAAATGTCTTGATGATAACTAACAGATAGGCTGTATATAATATTTTTCCATTTTGCAGGTGTGAAAGCAGTTAAGTTAAAAACAGTACTTACCATACATTATTATTATTTTTTAAATTTTCAATCAAAATGGCCATGTTTCTGTGACAGTGAAACATGTGTGCTTAGCACTCCTTATTCACTGTCACTGTCGATCACTATAGTAGTTGGCTGCACTACCAGTATCAATTATCACTAGTACTAGTATCCCACAACTGGTGACAATGATCATCAACCACAACTAGTACAATACTAGAAAACGTTCACCCAACAATGTATTTTATGCTCAATCATTAAATACATTTTGCTGTGTTGCCAGCTGTTTGTATACATCTATTTCTAATAATTTGCATGTATATGCCGCACCCCTGAATTTAATTTCAACATATGCTGTCATTTCTATTTACGACCAAATCTCATAAGGAATTTCACATTGACAAATTTTAGGTACCCAGGTCTTCAAATGCAACAAAATTATAAACATTCATACCTTATCCAGGAATTTCTACCAGAGAAATAGCATGAATTTAATGATCAAAATTCCATTCAAATTATAGTAATAAAGAGTGGATAATAATAACAAATACTATTCATTAAATTATAGTCCATGTTATGAATAATGTGTGCTATTCAGTTTCATTAAAAGTAAATTCCTTTTGTGAAGAACATAATTAAAAAACAAAACAGAACTTCAACAGGAGACAAAACTGTCTAGACTGTTGACTGTAAAGGTCCTGTGCCCCCTTAAGAATATTTCACTACATTTTTTCCTTCTTGGAATTCATAAGAACATTTTCTCAAAAGGTTAATCTTTTATTACTTATACAAAGCTTACACCATTGAACTAACTATTGTGACTATTCTTAAATAAGTGAAAATAATTTTTCTTTTTTTTTTAAGTAATATTTTTACTGTTTAAAAAAAAAACAGCAGATTCTTGATATTGGTTTGATGTTTTAGTAAAATTAATTCATGAAGTTTGTTTGGAAAGATAAACTCCATTTGAAGCAAATAGCAATACAATATTTCCAGCTTTTTTAATAAATTTATTCTTAAATACAAAAATAATTAAACAGGAAAAAAATTATGGTAATAATTTTAAAAAAAATTATAAACAGAAAGAAAGTAATAATAATAATTTACACAGAAAAAATAAAATTTTTGCAAGCATGAATTTTTTAAAGAATTTTCATAAAAAAATGAAAAATATTGGATGGGATCAATCATCTACAGGATCATACACAGCGTGCATAATCCTGAGCTTAACTTTCACTTTACAAGTTTCATCCATATTTTTCAATATAAGTTGAAAAACTCATTAAAAATGCATGTCATCATTGTAGATTTCTTGCGAGATCAACTCATTATTTCGTTCGGATATGATTACAACTCATTATTTCGTTCAGGTACAATGTGCTCCATATTAAAAAAAATGTTGCCTTCAATGTGACAGCAAAATCGTCTAAAGAAAGCCGCTTCATTTTAGCTTCGCACTGATTGGTCGATGCTTATCCCAAACTCGGCGTAAAGTTGAAAACTTTGAACCCTATGCCATGAGCCCTAAACCAGATTCTATGACCTAGCAGAGACTGGTTGCCTTGGCAACAAAGCTCGGCTTTAACCACTTATGCCCTTTACGCCCTCGTCTGAACGGGGCCTTATAGTCCTTAAAAGTCCTTAATTTTGGCCAAACTCAGCAGAAGGTCCTTAATTTTAATCATCTTAAAATTTCTGCTTGTTTTTACAACTGCCATTTTGAGTGTGAATTAGCATTTTGGAGAAACATTTTGGGTGATTCACTGACATATATGGTTATCTTTTGAATGAGTTCATGGGTTATAATTTGTTTCTGTTTCAAACAACTTTTCGCTTTTGGGAATGTGAATTCTTTTATTAAACGTTTCTAAATTTGGTGACTTATTTTGCCGATTTTAAGATCAGTTTCTATAGAAAATTTTTAATTCTGAGATCTGAGAATTTTTCGACGATTTGTTTTTAAAACATTGTAACATTGAAACATTTTATTAAAATAATGGTAATATATTGAAATTGTATTTAAAAAATAACATTAAAATAAAACATTTTTATTTTTCGCTGTCATACTATAAAGTTTCATTTTGACAACTTATTGTACAATATTTTGAATCTGAAAAATAAACAAGGTATAATGCTCTAAAGCACAATTTACGAAACAGCTCTTAGCAAAAGCAAAATTAGTTATGTAAATAATTAAAAATGTCTTCTACTTAAATTTTTCATAGTAAGAGTTTTTCCCATGTTATTGTCTCAAAATATTCAAAATTCTCAGAATATGCATCAGTTTTCTCTATAAAATTAATTTTATACTTTTCCCCTCCCCCCCCCTTTTTTTTTCCAAAATATTTCTGGCTTTTTGCTGTTACAGGTATAATTTTTTGTAAGGATTTTAGGCATCGCAGCTTGGAAGGTTTAGAAGGATTTGAAGGCACGATTTATAGACCCACGGTCCTAGAAGATTCGAGAAATATGTGACAAAATGAAAAATGTCTCCATGGTATCAACACATAATGGATGTATTTTACGAGACAGTTTGTGCAATGAATTTCGTTACTTTTTGGAGAACGTTTTGGAAGAACAATGAAAAACATAATATTTGAAATGTTTTACTTCTGATACTAGAAGTCTTTTTCTTCCCTTTATGTTTATCTTCCCTTTATTTTCTCTAACTTTTCACTAGACTACAAGCATGGAAAAATATCAAAAATGCTTTCTAATCTTATTCACATGGGCAGGCATTATCTAAAAAATAGATTTTTCTATTAATAAAGGAAATTGAAAACTTATAATTTAAAAGATTCATCTAATATGTCTTAATGCATCATACACATAGCTGGCACTAGGCATTTTCCCACCTGATGCAGTCTCTGTGGATTCTAAATTCTGCTTCCAGTGCCTGCTCTAAATTCTAAAAGTTTTGCCGTTTCTTGATTTTGTTGTTTGGTGTGTCACTAAATTCTAAAAATTCTGCCACATCAGCTGTGTAACCGGCATTTACCATATATGTTTCATATTTCTTCTAAATGT